TTGTAGCCAGCTGCGATCCAATCATACCCTGACAAGCTCACTGATCGAAGGACAAAAGCCTGCAGCTGCCCCACACGTTTGCCCGGTCCTGAAGTCTTCGTTCTCGACAAAGTAAACTTCAATCCCAGCTGTGACAATGTCATCGACTCCGGACAGATTCCCTGCAAGTCGTCGCAGCGGAGGCATGCCCAGACCATCAAAAGCAACATGAAGCACATAAACCGCAGCCCCGTAGGTGCAGAAATTCGCACAACTGTCAGCTCGGCCGCCAGAAGGATGGCGACAGTGTAAAGTGGTGCTTGTCTCACAGGCTCCCCCTCGGCCTCCAACTGCTGAGTCCAAGATTTCACCGTTCCTTCGAGGATAGAATCCTTCGAGAGACGGGCTTCAAGTGGCACCTGTCCCACTTGCTCCATCAAGAAAATGCTAGCCAAAATTGACCCTGGCACAGTCTTTCCCAGTGGTGATCCCTGATGTCGCTCCTCAAGATAATGGATAATTTCTCCAACATCCTTAGGCCAAGCACGCCCGAACGTGACTTGAAGCCACTCCCTGACGGGTGTCCAGCTCCTGCAGCGATTCTTAAGCGTATTTCCTCGGCGCGCCCCGAAAGCTCGCACCCACACCGCACTGGGATCCTCCATAGCACGAATCCGCGCTGCAGCCGGAAGACCTGCCTCCTCAATATACTGAGCCAGCAGAAGAGCCCACTTCTTCTTCTTGACCTCCTCATGCTCCGCCCGACCGGAAGCGACCCCTTTGGCCTTTATCGCCCTCTCAAGGACCGCCAAGCTAAGCTGTGGACTAGCGTTGACCAGAGCCTGATATGTTTCGCTGGGATCGCAGCGGGAGCTCGCACTCCTGTAGGGCCCACAAGCTGCTGCCTGAGCCACCCTGCGAACAACCCGATCAGCCGTAGTGGGGTGGGCTTGCACGAAAAGCCACAACTGATTTCCCAGCTCCGCGCAGCGAACCAGGCTCCTCGTATCCTCCATGCAGTCTCTGACCAGTTTCAAAGCATCCTTCTCGTCAGCAATCGAGAGTATGAACTCACCCAGACCCTTGAAATGCAAAGCAACTCTTTCAGCAAGCAAAGGATCGAGTCTGGCGATTGCCGACCACTCGGCTTTCACATTTGACATGTCTATCCCGCGGCCTCTGCAAAATGCAGGCCGTCCATGGCGCCGAAGGTCCCCTAGCCCCCGAACACCAAAATTTTCTCGAGCATCACTTGCAAGTGTGCACTGGCCAATCATCAGACTCTCCAAGAATCTCAAGTGCATGACAAGTCTCTTTGCAAAACACTCGAAGAAATCCGAACATGTTCAAGCGAAGTGGCAAGATAAGAAAACTTTCCAAAAAGGTAAAACGAACTTTTCTTTA